ATTGAGGCTTATCCCAGTCTAGGGTCATGGCAGGAACCCAAAAAGGATCTTTATATCAAATCAGTCATTGTAACAGAGGCCTGATCAAAGCAGAATAGAGGACCATTACTCCTTCCTTTGATCTGGACAGTATGCTTCTATTGATGCAGCCTAGAATGCATTGACTCCTTGGCTGTCACATCACACTTTTGACTCATGTTTAGTTTGTGGTCTACTAAGACCCCATGATCATTTCCCCATGTACTGCTTCCAAGCCAGGTATCGTCCATCTTATATTTGTGCAATTCATTTCAGCTGCCTGGATATAGTACCTTACACTGAAACTCCCTGTTGAAATTCATTTTGTGAAGTTGTAGGCTTTCATGGCCGGCATCCATAGTTTTTTGTGGGTTTTTCAGGCTGTGTGGCCATGTTCTAGAAGAGTTTCTTTCTGACGTTTCACCAGCATCTGTGGCTGGCATCTTCAGAGAAAAAGGAAACTCTTCTAGAACATGGCCACACAGCCCGAAAAACCCACAAAAAACTATGAAATTCATTTTGTTAGCTTTGGCCCAGCTTTCTAATCTATTAAGGTCATTTTGAATTTTCATCCTGGGGTATTAGTGTTATCTGCAAATTTGAGAAGCATGCCCCCTATTCCTTCATCCAAGTCATTGATAAAGATGTTGAATATCCCTGGGCCCAGGACAGAAGCCCACTGGACACCCCACTGGTCACTTTTTTTCCAAAATAAAGGGGAGCCATTGCTGAGCACCCTTTGGGTTTGGCCGGTCAACCAATTACAAATCCACCTAACAGTTGCATTTTTAAAGGTAGTTTGCAAGACTATCATGGGGGACCTTGTCAAAGACTTTACTGAAATTCCCAATCATCAACTCTGTATTTCACCCAAGTCACTATCAATTTCTCAATAATTACCACAGTAATCCTTGCAGTATAAAGGTTGTTCAGAAGTTTTGTTCGCTGTGTCTGATCTTGTCTCCGGAACAGATGCATGACGAAAAGCAACAATCCGGACTCTGACTCATCACTGTAAAAACCCAAGAAAAGAAAATCCTGTTTTCTTCAAAGGAGAGGGCTATTGTTTGCAAGGGAACCTAGCAAATGGTTAGGCTACAAACAATCCGCCTTTCCTGGAAATATTCTTTAGCTCAGATGCGTGTGGGTTCTTTCCTTGTAATGACTTCCCAGTCAGTCTTAGCCGTGGCAGAATATAATAGGAGATGAAACGGTCACCGTGATCCTGCCTATCTATAGAATGGCCATAGTCCAGATAACATCCTGCATTGTGCAACCCACAACGTGGGGGCTGGGGGGCTATTTCTTAAGCAGTAACTGCCCCTCTTAAAATGAAACAATCCCCAGCTGAAACTTGGGAGTTTCCGTTTTGTGTTTGCTCTAGTCGTAACATTTCTATAGGTTTCCTGTAAACCATTTGGCCCGAACCCTGTTGTTAGCCCTTACTAGGGTACTGTTATGTGCCTTCAAAAGGACTGAATTATAAGCCACCCTATCCTAAGATTTCCTTGGCAAGCTTTCTTTAAAATAGGGTTGCCCTTGCCTTCCTGAGGTTGAAACAGTAGGACTTGCCCAAGTGAGTTTCCATGGGGATTTGAACCCTGACTTCCAAGTCATAATCTGATGCTTAAA